GATCTTACGAGGTTGTTGATGAAATTAAGGAAGCTCTTGAGTCGGCCTGCCCTCGTATTGTTTCTTGTGCAGATATCATTATCATGGCCTCTAGAGATGCTGTTGCTCTGGTAAATTTTAATTTTTTATTTTATTATTAGTTATATATTTTGGATCGTACTAAAATCATAAAATAATGTGTTGTAACACAAAAGAAATCTTCTGATTTATTTAGAAAATGATTTTTTTTGCTAATTATCTTTTTCGGTAAAATTGTTTTATAGATTTGACTCAAGCTCAACTACGTGAATGTTTTGTTTCTTATTTATTTCGTCAAATATTTTTAAGAATATGAATAATCTTTTCACATTTTCCTTTTGCAAAATCATATATACTTTATTTTCACAAATATTAACAATGGAGTCAAATAATATATATATATATATATATCTTTTTTCGCATGACTTATCAGAAAGAAAAAATCAAAATGAAATTTTATTCTATGTGTTTTTAATATATTGATTTTTAAGCCAAAATTAAATATTACCAAAAAAAATATTTAATTATTATATGAACAGAGTGGAGGTCCAGATTGGGAAGTGAAATTGGGAAGAAAAGACAGTTTAACGGCGAGCCAGAAAGATTCCGACGACATAATGCCGAGTCCAAGAGCCAACGCAAGTTCTCTCATCGATCTTTTCGCCAGATTCGATCTCTCAGTGAAAGATCTCGTATCCCTTTCCGGTTCTCACTCCATCGGAAACGGCCGTTGCTTCTCCATCGTCTTCCGGCTATACAACCAGTCAGGCACCGGCCGCCCAGATCCCACCATCGAGCCTAAGTTCCGGAAAAAGTTAGACAAGCTTTGCCCTCTTGGAGGAGATGGGAATGTCACCGGCGATTTGGACTTCACGCCTCATGTTTTTGATAATCAGTACTTTAAAGATTTGGTGAACGGAAGAGGGTTTCTTAATTCCGATGAAACGTTGTTTACTTTTCCGGAAACGAGAGGGTATGTGAGAAGGTATAGTGAGGATGAATCCGAGTTTTTTAGGGATTTTGTCGATGGGATGATAAAGATGGGGGACTTGCAGTCAGGGCGGCCGGGGGAGATTCGGAGGAATTGTAGGGTGGTTAATGACCCGCCGCAGGTGGAGGTGGTGGTCGGGGGATTCAGGGATAGGAAAATCTTGAGCCGGTGATTTGTGATGTCCTCTTAAATACGAGTATAATTTATATCTGCTAAAAGTGTTACATATGTTCTCAAATTAGTCAATGCGTTTCATAATATGACCCTATAAATTCTAGTTATTAAAGAAACTTTTTAAGATAGAAATTATAAGTTCTTTATATAAAAGAAAATGTTTGGCATATGAAATCAAAAGGTAATGAAAAAACATGTGACTAATCGAATGTAGCTAACGCCAATATTTTCATCCAACCGATTAAGATGGATATGGCCTATGTGTGGTTTCTTACCCACACCATCTTTGGAATTGGATTATTCTAGTTCATTCTTACCCACACCATCTTTGGAATTGGATTATTCTAGTTCATCCATCCGATCATTCATCTTCGTTCTCATCTGATCCTTCGTCTCCCTTCTCAGTGAGTGATGGTTTGTTTATTGATTCTTTTTTTCAAATTTAGTGTTCTTCGAGTTTAAGGTTTGGTCATTGAGTCTTAGGCTAGGGTTCTTGATTTTTTGAATTACAAAAGTAGTAATTTGGTTGATTTACTAATTTCATTTTAGGATTTATATGTTTAGTTGGGCAACTTGAAAACAATGAAAATCAATCGTCTGGTTAGCTACATGTTTTTATTGGATCAAGTTACATTAATTACCAATCTTGTTTCCAAATTTTGTGAACACTTGATTGTTTACATTAGTCATTCATCGTATGAATCATCAATATTACCGAACACAATATGTTCATTTATAACGAACGGCATCAAGATGTTTAAAAATGTATCCCTTCTTAAGGGGTGAGGGTTGAAGTCCCGTTACACACAAATAAATAGTTCAGAAGTAAGATTTTGTGGGTATGTGTATTAGCCGCTCAAAAAAATGTGTTTCATTTATAATCAAATTCATTCGAAGCTTCTAAATTATTTTGACATTTGAATCATTCGACGCTAAACCATTTACATGTTACTAAACAATCCCTAAGCAGTTAAAAAAAAAACATTTAACAAGGGTTTGTAAAAACAATTTTTTAAATCTTATAAAACATTTTTCAAAAATTTTAATGAAAGAATTTTTGTGAAATGAATGAACTTTTCATGAAATTTGTATAAAGAAGTTTACAAAATATTTGCAAAAGTTTACAAAACATCAAAGTTTGCAACAAAAGTACCAAACCATATGTGCTTCATCCGTTCGGTCTTCGGTTCTTACAAAGTCCACCTTTTAGTTCTCGGTCTTATCGAATCTGTGGAAAATTCGGTATTTGTCTTGAATTTTTTTCATCTTTCTTAGTATTTTTGGTGGCTATATGTTAGGATCATAACTTTTTCATATAAGCTTCAAAAAGTTGATTATTCTTCATGCTATCTTCTTTTATTTCTTGGCTAACATTATTTATTGGCTAAATGTCAGACTCAAGAATCAACTACTTTGGATAAGTATATCATGAGCTATATAAACCTAAACATGGATATATGAAAACTTAAATTTTTAAGACTTTGTTAATTTTTTCTTACTAGACGTGTGCAACAAACTCTTAATTTGTAATACTTTTGAGTTTGTGGTTAACTGGTTATCGGACGATTGTTAAATTATGTGATTCTAAAATGAAAAAGTTGGGTAAAAGAGTAATTGATTTCATATTCATTAGTTATGCAGAAAATTCTATATGCATTTGTAAAACATAATGACTTTGTGTCTTTAATATCGTGCTTTAGTTCTGAGCAGTAACGAGTCTAGAACTGAAAATCATGTGGTTCCCTAATCGAATTCAAGCAGATTGTTCAAGAAAAAAAAATCAGGTTCAACCGAGTCAGTTTGACCAAAAAGAAACCAATTTGGTATGTATAAAATTGATGGTGAAAGAACCGAGCTCAAATCGGCCATTGCTTAATTTTATTTTATTTTTACTAAAACCAACTTAAACTTGGAGTTTGTTAGTTTAAATTGTACATAGTAAAGCTTATGGTGTGGAAGCATGAATGTGGAAATAGTTATTTATCATGAAAACATATCACCACTTTCTTTTTGGAGTCCATGTCGGACTCTTTCATGCCACAAAATATGATGTTTTTTCATCCAAACAAACACATTAAAGTAGATTTTTCAAAACATTTAAGAAAAGTTCTAAATATTTTTTTATATAACTTGTAAAAAGTTAAAATTAGGTGGGTCAAGTGACCCACCTTGACATATATTAGTCTCGCACATATATTAGCTTCGTCACTGGTTGTGAGATGTAATTTTTTATGAAATATGTTTTTCAACTGTACTCCCAATACTAGTGGAGTGCAAAATCCAAAAAGTTCAGATGACATTAATGGACCTATTAACATAGACGGGTCATAAAATCAAAAGAAAATGTTTTATAAAAAAAATGGTCTCGACTTCCAACTATATTTGATGAAACCATTGAGGGACAAAACATGAATCTATTACTACTACTACTATTATTACATAGATGTAGTTTCAAGTAGGGGTGAGCAAAAACCGCACCGCTACTAAAATTAACCGCAAAACCGTATAAACCGCAACCGCAATAAAAACCGATGGTGAGGTTTTTTGTTTTCCATAAACCGCAAACTTACGGTGCGATGCGGTTATTAGTTTTCAAAAACCGCACCGCACCACATATATTATATACAATTTTTTTATTAATTATTAATATGTTAAATATTGAAAATGAGACAGGTTTTATGGATGAAAGATAGATAAATACTAGAAGACAAAAATGTTGGTTTTTTGTTATGTTTAACTTTGAAAAAATGTGAAATTAGACAAGTTTAAGATATTTATTGTTAATTACTATTGATTTGATGTTTTTAAAAATTAGTTGTTTGTGATTTAAGTTAATTTTCTTATATCTTATGGTTTTTTAATTATTACAATTAATATGTTTAAAACTCTTAAAATCGTTTGAGCTGTAAACTATGGTTAAAAACCACACAAAATAACCGCACCAAATCCATGCAGTTAATAACCGCAAAACAAAAAAAACAAAACTGCACCATTAAAATAACCGTCTAACCACACCGCATCAATCGGTTTTGAAAATGAATTAACCGCATTTGCGGTTGTGGTGAGGTTTTAGCTAATAACTGCACCGAACCGCACCGCGCTCACCTTTAGTTTGAAGGAATTTTAAAAAGACTATGGGGTATAGAGATGCAGTCTTTTAGAAAGAATTAGTTAATGACAAAATGTCTTCATTAAGAAAAATAACATTTGAGAGTTATTCGATTTTCTTTTAGGTTCTAAACCACTTGGTTTCAAATTTATCTTCAAAAAGAATATGAAACTTAAAGGTTTGATTGATAAATTCAAGGTCTGGTTGGTCATTCACTGGTTAGGCAAAAGGCTAGTGATGACTATTTTGATACGTATGGTCTAATAGAACGACTGTTTACCATACAACCAATTACTGAAAGTGAGTATGCATGATTCATCAAATATTCAAGAACCATATTTGATCATCAAACTCGTCTTGTTTTATCCCTCAATTTCTATCAAATCCCTTGATATCTACATATTTACTATTTTTGTATTCATTTTTTTCATGTTACTATTTTTTTTTTATCTATTTTAAAAGTATTATAGCATGTGTCTCGTGCTAAATTCCTTGGATCAAAACATTATATTAGACTTACTGAATATTTTATATAAGAATACGAATTTGTGTTGAGAAGCTTTTCAAACTATAGAATTAATAAAGTAGAAAATGAGTGGTATGCACAAGTTTGATTAGGATAAGAAGAGATGATGACTGAATTGATGGTTGAAAATATAATAAGATGGGATAACATTCATTTCAGTTGTATATTCAAAGTCTAATATTGCCACTTTATGGGTGATGATGACTATTCGAAAGATTCCCTGAGTGTCACCTATCACTTACGCTTTTTTTAGTGCAGATTCATCGCTCAACCACCATTCATTTCACTTATACAGTAAGATGCATACAAAAATAGTTTCAAAAAGATAGATTTTGTTTTCAAGATGGATTTCATGATAGACTTATAATGATTTCAATATTTTTCAAGATGTACTCATGATGTTCATACCCTAAAATAAACGCATCTTTTTCCTTAATTCACTCTGCTTCTCCCTCACTATCCTCCACATCTCTCATTACTTGATCTTCATCCACATTTTCCACAAAATCCTCACCGTTATTTCCATCATTATCTACATACGCTTGAGAGCTCACCACCTCTCCTATCAAGTTCTTGTGTTTCAAGTTTCCTTTAAGAATACAATTTTAATTGATTTATTTAGCCACTCAATTCAACTATTATATTATAAATAAAAACAGGAGATAAATATGTTAGTTACATACCCATCCAGAATTTGCATCCACTTGATGAAGAATGAAGAAGAGCCTTAACACGAAACAACAAACGTTCCAAAGATCTCTTGGTTGCAGGAATTTTACTAGTGATACCCGTTTGTTTCAAACCCTTTTTCATAACCAAAAAACAAATTATAATCAAAATATGTAAATAAATGTCCATTGATAATAACAAAACAAAAAACTATACCTTTGCTTCCGAACATAGGGTTTGTATTGTTCTTGTCCCCTTCTGGAAGTCTTTAAACTTTTAAAAAAAAAAAAGTATTAAAATTTCTAGTTTAATTCAACCCACTTGGTTTAGTATAAACTTTACTTACAAGTTGAATGATAAGCTGATCATGGCCCTGAAAGTGGGTTTCTAGAAACTCAAAAACTGCACAAGAAGCCTCAAATATCAGTTTTAACTAAATGACCATTTCACCCTTAGGGCCTTACACATACCTTTTAAGAAAGAATCAACAAACTTCCCACCATACTTCACCGCCATTGTGCGAACATTAACCTACATTAAACTTTCACATCAAAACAGGACTACACTACACAATGAGGGGGGCATTTACGTCATTTCAGTACTACCTTGTCATGAGTCCTGCAAATGTTTATCAAGGATACAGCTACATTTACAGATTGATGAAGCTTCTCCATAATTAGCTGCACGTCTTTTGGTTGGGTAGCTCTTGATTTACTTAAGTGAACACCTTCTTTAACCTAATATGTCATAAAAAGTTGCGTTGTTAATTATCGGAACTTGTTACTTATGATTTTTTTTTTGAAAAAAAAAAAAAAAAAAGAAGAGATGAATTTTTACCAGCTTCCCGAGTATAACAAGGTTCTGTTCATGCTGCAAGTAAAAAAAAAAAAATTTTAGTAAATCATATGTAGAAGGACAAGAGAAGAATATATTAAGATGCATACCAACTCTTTATACCAAACAGAGAAAGTTGAGGAGCAAAGAGTTGTAAAACCATGGCTTGTTTCCTCAGCTGTTGTTCTACTGGATAAAGATACCTGACATGACACCAAATAAATAACTTTTTATAATTTAAAAAAAAATGATAATTTTGTAAAAAAACTTACCATAGGCAAAATAGAGCATGCAAGTTCATCAAGTGTTTGTGAGGTAGACTCGCAATTTTCCAAGTAAACATGAACAAGCTTCTGCACCATTTCCCCCTGTGATGTGAACACCAGTAAAAGTTAAATAAACAATACAAAGTAAAAAGTAATTAAACCCAGTGAGATTATTGATTAAGATATATAGAGAATTTACTTTTCCTTTCCAACCATTTTCAACATCTTCATGCCAATCATGAGTCAATAGTTTTTTAGCAGAAGAGCTGAGTTTTTTGCGCATAGTGGCTATGAGTTCCCGAATGTCAACCACTATATGTTTACTGCTACTTCCATCAATAGGCTTTTCAACAAATTTTTCAAGGGACACAACTAATGACTCTAATGTGAGCACCACTTCTGAAGCAAGCATAAATGAGAAACAAACAGCTGCAAAATCAAAATATCCACCAGATTATATCAATTAAGAACCCTACTTTCACCTACAAATAAGAAAAAAAATGGAAAAAGAAACCATACCCACATCAAGAACCCCTTCAAGGAAAGCATAGACACCACCATATAATAAACCTATGTCTCCTGTTGATGATGATGATGATGAAGATTCTTTTTTAGGTTGGAAAGACTTGAGGAGATCAATGAGAACCGAATGCTTTCTCATTATAAGATCTGGACATGTCAGCATCTGTGTTGGATCATGGTCAAACAGTCAAACTACAGAAATCCATAGGAGGGAGGAGGGTAGTTAGTGAGTAGTACCTTGCTGAAGCAATGAAGTGTCTCTTTGACTACTGAACTTGAAACAAAAGGTACAGAAACTACCATGTTAGGTATTTCTGGATTACCAGATAAGGAAGATTGATCCCTCCAATGTGTTTGACAAGTTTCAGAACCTGAAAAGTACTTTGTAAGATACAAGATACTTTAAAATTGTATAAAATGTTAAGATATTCTTACCTTGTTCAAGTAATGATATAGCAGAATCTATGTGTCTCCTTAAAGTTGGGAACAATGTCTGAATCTTGTTAATGAATTCAACTGTTGATATTTCACTTAAACTGGGAGGAGTGCTCATGGATCTGAAGGGTGTTGGTTTAGGGCAAAAAGATTCTATCTTGCTGTAAAGATCACGGAGGAGGTATAGATACACAGGCAACTAGAACATGAAATTCACATGAAAAGTAGTTAAGTTGCAGGGATAAATGCAAGAAATAGCAATGTACTTTTATTTATTTATATATTATAGCATCTTATTTTTGTTTAAAAGGCTTACGTCACATGTAGGATCTGCACAACAAGAATCATGATCCTGCATTCAAGAAACATCAAACAAGCACATTAGGCACTAGATGTATATTCTCTATGTATGCTGACTCTGCTTGAATGACTTGTTTAGTAATGTAAGTGAGTAAATAAAACATATTATTACGATCACTGAATATGGATCGATATTTGACCTTTGAATATGACAAAATGGAGAAACAATCAATCAAAAGAGGTCTAAATTTATATCTTTGGGCTTCTAGAAGTTTAACAGCTTCAGAAATCTCAATATCAGTATCTACTAATTCATTTAAGTTGCTTGTAGAACACGTTGCTGACTCAGATGGACTGCTTCTAGAAGGGACTCCAGTAGATTTTTCATTTAAAACATCGTTGCTGTTTATTACACCAGATTTTTTCCATGTTTCAATAAGTGTAAGCTGAGTGGCACTGCTTCTTTGGGTGACAGAATTTTTCAATCCCTTTGATGACTTTTTATCCTTTCTCTTGTTGCCTTGTAAGGAATCTTTATTTGTTGTGTTTTTTTCAGAACGAGTGGGCTCGATATGAAGGTAGAGTTCAGGTAAGGAGAGAGGACACTCTTGGAGAAGATGATTCAACAAGCTCTCAAGAAATCTGGCATCACAAAAGAACTGTTAATTAATTAATTTATAAATCACTTATTTGAAGAAAATTTTCTTTTTGTGTCAGGTTTAATTATTAATTTCGACTTACATGAGGTTTTTCAAGCGTTTCAAGATTTTGGTGACTGTATCCTCCTTAGTAGCTTGACTTATGCAGTCAAATCTTCCAGCAACTTGTGTACCAAAGGCATTAAGCTATTTGAGATAATAAAAAAAAAATAGTAATAATAATAAACTGTCGTTTAAACTGTCATAATAAGCAAATATGATATAATCCATTACTATATTTAGTGAATACTTACTAGCTCTCGGATCCAATTAATTGCATAATAAAGAGAGAGGCATAGAACATGTTTGTGCTTTCTATTTAATGAGTGCCAAGATTCCAAGAAAAGCTGCAAAACCAATGGCAAGAAGCTATTAGCCAAAAAAAAAAGACTAGAATTAAAGAAACTACTTTAATTAAAGAAATCAAGTTAGATCCATGAACTTAACCTTAGAAGAAGGGAGATGAATAGGACATCCAAGAAGTGCATCAATTCCTCCAAGAGATCCCTGATTTCCCAACCTTTCCATCTGGATAAAAAAATTAGATACAAAAAAAATCATTATGAAGAAATAAAATTAACAAAAAGTTGTGTTTTTTAAAAGACACCTACAACAGAAAGCAAGCGGAAATTAGCAGGAAGAGTTTGTAGTGATGTTAGCCTGCACATAACAAATCTTTTTTAGTAATCCTAGTTATTCATTTTCATCAAATCTTTTTGCAAGTTAGAACAATGAAAGAAAACTCACAAGTCAATATGGTCAACTTAAGTGTACCTTGATGATGAGGAAGCTAGAGACAATATGTTCATGCAAATAGGAGATATATCTCCATCTAAATTCATCCATAGCTCTCCTGTGTGACAGGAAAAATAACAAAAAATAAAGTTTACTGAAAAGAAAAATAAAATCGTTTGGGGACAATAAAGTCACATCCCTTTGATTCACCTTCTAGACCACAATATAAGTCGGAAGCAGGCAATTTCCCATCTTCTAAATCAGATAAAAACATGGATTCAAACTCTCCAACAAGTTGGCCAACCCTACACTTAAGAACATTTGTCACATTTAGAGAAATTATGTGTTTATTAATTCTTACTAATAATTTAGCAGTTAGCAACAGATTACTCACCTTTCCATGATTGCTGGATGAAGGGTTCTTGAATCAAGAGTTGCAGATAGTTCATCATAGAATAGGATTAATGATATTGGCAACTGTTGACATGAATCCAGAGATGTTTTCAGAAGTTCTAGAGCCTCCTCATTTGTGTCTCCAAGGTGGGACAATATTTTTAAGGTTCCAATTAGACCCATTTTCTTGTACTTAAATTCTGGATTACTAACCTGTTGGATCAAACAGTTATTCCAAAAACTTCATTTAAAAAGAATAATTTGGAAAGCTAACAATTGGATTTACTTTTACCTGCTTCCTTACAATCATGAAAAGTTCATTTGCAATGGATGATCCGAATGATTCTTTATTAGATTGTGTTGACCTTGCTGACCTTGATAGAAAGCAGAAAACATCATATACCTGCAATACATGTATCCAAGTGAAAAAAATGCATGTGAAAATAGTCAAAGACACAAGTTATACTTTGGGTAAACATATTTGTAACCTTATGCAGGTTTTCAGAGGTAAACCCTTCCATATAATCTAATATACCTACATATAGCAAAAAGCAACATGTCATGTACACTGCAACATTGAAGAAAAAATAAAGAATCAAATCAAAAAACAATGAAGAAGTGATGGTAATTGTAGTATACCAGTTATGTAAGAACAAATTGGAATTAGTTCTTGAGAGTACTTAGAGGCTAGCAAGACCATAGCCTCTAAAGCTGAATTGACTTCAAACATAATGCCGGACCCCACATGGGTGACTAATGCCCCTAACACCTGTGAGTGTCCACATATGATAAGTTTCTGAATGAATGGAGTTTACTTTCTTTCCTTCTAGAAACAAGAGTACATATTAGAGGAAGTAAGCAACTTACTTCTTGTCTTGAGTAAGTATCAGGAAACCCCTCGAATAGGTACTTATACATCTGAATGCCAAATTTGCTTGCTTTCTGTTCTTTGCAGGCTAATAAGTATTCGGACATCAGCAAAAATGAGGAAAAGTGATCCTAAATTCAAGAAACAATAGGCACAAAATTACCATCTTTCAAAACTACAAAATCCCAATTTCATTCAGATGAAAGGAAATGACACCATACCTTTACCAATTCCTTGTTACCAAAAATGCATTGCTCAAATAAAACATCCTGAATAGACCCTTCGATGATTTTCTTCTTTAGTAGCTTTTCAACACTCTTTTGCATTGATTCACAGTTCTTATAAATAAGCATCAGCAACCAAATGTCGATCACTTTATGATCCTGGGGTTTATCAATGTATTGAAGTTCTTTTAGTATTTCCTGACATAGTATCTGCAAGCATTGACATACACAAGAAGATATTATTTGAAAAGGCTAGAAGTTATACAATTTGTAAATAATACTTTAAGTTTCAAGTACATTTTTAAAACGAAAACTTGACCCCAAAGCATCAAGAACAGAAGCCTCCACGTTATTTATGATTGATTTTCCCTTGAGTTTATTGTTTTGGGCTGGAGTATCAAAGACTCCAACCATCTTGTATTGTTCTCTGAATTGTGATATTATTCTTCGGGCATTTGTTGATGTTGCAGAAAGCAGTAGAAACCTAAGTAGGTATGGCAACTTTTCTGCTTCAATCGTTCGAATGCATGATAGTGCAATCGTTATAACCTTCAGATAATCAAATGCAACTTTAATTAGTAACTAGTCTACAAGTTATGACAATGTATATGCATGTAAACCAAATGACCTTATCTTGCAAGAGCTCATCCAAGTTAAGACTGGAGAAACAATCAATTACAGCAACTGTGGCAGTTGAATCATCTTGCAACACCTTCTCAAGTGATTCAACCACAGTTTTATTGTTAGTGTCCCCCATAATCTCAGGCAGTGATCCAATGATCTCTCTCTTTAAGTGTGGGGGGCAAATTGATAAAACTTGGAACAGATTCTCAGTAAATGCCTCGGAGTCCACTAGAAAGTCAAGCCAACGGAACTGGTTTAGTATCAATCTAGCTATGTCCTCATCCAGACGCATGGTAGATGATGATGAATGTCCACAGTTATCATTATCAAAATACTCTGGAAGCTTCTCGAGCAACATGTTTTGAAGATCTAACTGGATCGAAGGAATCAGCAACAGCACCCTGACTAAGCTCTCACTTCGGACGTTGCTAGAACTATAGCGCTGGGAAGGTAATAAAACCCTACAAGTATAATTGGAGTTTTCATTGCATTAATGTTCACATAGCTGTTTGGATTCTAAGTTCAACGAGTACATATTCAACCAATTCCGTTTAGCATAGGGTTAAACTGTATGATCGAATGAGAAGAGAATGATAAAGATCGGAACATACAAGATAATAAACTGTTTTTTAAGATTTTATAAGAATTAACCTGCGAAGATCATTTTGGTTGTCAATATAAGAGGAGAAGCCTTCCAACAGTTGGGATCGAATAGAGGAATCAGAAGACAAACGACTTTGGAGATGGTGACGGAGCTTGTGTAGGTCAGCAGGCAGGCAAGGAGGGCCGGAAGTGTTAAGCAATGTACAACCGGCATTTGCAAGGATCGAAGCCATTTTGTCAATTGAGTTTAGGGTTTCTGATGATGGCTTAGGCGGAGGTGCTATTGAGTCGTCGTTTTGAATATTTACAGAGTTGCTGACATTGACGGTGGAGGCAGCGGTGGGTTTAGGGATTTTGGAAGGGTGAGAGACTGGGGAAACGAATGAATTGGAAGGTCGTTTGGTACGGGCCGTGTTCGGGTTGCGAAGAAACACCATTTCGGCGGTAGGCGTGGATGAATTGTTTGAACTATAAACTTCTACGGCGGGGCCGGGGGAGGGTGAAGAAGACGTATGAAGGCCAATACAAAAGAAGAGGCACGAAAATGGCGCCAAAAATCCGATCGTTTTGAAAAAGACCTCAAAACTCAAATTTTGTAAACTTCTAGGTGTTGTTTGGTAGAGTGTTGCTAATAAATTGGAATCGAATCCAATTTCTTATCCTTGGTTGGAACTTGGAAGTAAATAAAATTGGAATTAGTTCAAGATAGTTTGTAAGAATTGGAATTGAAATTCTATGTAAATTGACAAAAAAAAAAAAAAATCTATTTTACTTAATTTTATTTTCTTTTTTTAACTTATACATAAAGATGCATTATGTAAATTATAAAAATAGTAAAAATTGTTTTATTGATTAACTGTTCGTGTGAATATAATACAAAAATCATGCAAAAGACTTTGTAACTTAAAATCTTTACAATACAATTCTCAATATTGTTACCAAAAATAAAACATAATTTCAAAGCTATCACCTTCTTCACTACATATCTTGTTATTATTACCAAAATTACCAAAAAAACATAACGTATTAACGTAAAATCTTGCGTTACATCCAAATCAAAGACACCAAGAACTTACAAATTCAAAATACCAATCAACATCTCAATTGATAATCCTACTCTTCCAAAATGTATTTTAAAACACAAGCCTCTTTATCACCTTCTTTAATTTCCCAAAAAAAATTGACCATTAATATGTGGATCGCTCACTAGTATAAGAGTTTGAATTTCATCTCTAAAATCCAGGAAATGATCGAATGGGTAAAGCGTTATAGACATTGACTGGAGTATATCTTCCATTCACAAGTCGGTACGCCACAAAAAATCATTGACTAGATGCATATATATATATATATATATATATATATATATATATATATATATATATATATATATATATATATATATATATATATATATATATCAACTTATACAAATTCACTACCTAGTGGACAATCTTTCAAATCGAAATAATGGATGAGAGGTTGTCGTGTTGCTATGTCCATCATTTTGCTCTACAAATGCATATAACTTAAAAAAACAAAATCAACAAATATAGATCATAAGAACAAAAATCGAAACAAATCCAGAAAACGTAAGCAGTATGGATTTAAACTTAAATCGAAAGGTTTTGTGGATTGTAACTTTATAGTTGAAACTGAATAAAAGAAACATATTCTAAAACGTGCCCAAAATCGATCTAAACTACGATCAAATTAAAGTAGAATCCAACAAAATTTATCTATATATCATCATCATTCTTCCATGATGATTAAATACAAGACTAATCCACATAGATTGGAGCCCACATATATTATATTTCTTTTTCCCTTTATTTCTTCTTCACTACAAAACTTATGTTAGATAATTCATGTAAAGAAAGGAATGAAAGAACGTAAGGCAACTGGTAATGAGGGGTGCAGCGGGGTATTTTTTTCATTTTATTTTTACTGAGATTTAATTGTCATTAATAAAATTCATAATTTAATTCATTTTTTTGTGAGATTCAATTATCATTAGTAGAATTTATAAAATCCATCTTACTTTTGGTGAGATTTAATTACCATTAATAAAATTCTAAATTTAAAATGTAATATACATTTTATAAAATTTGTGGACAAAAATAAATTGATTGATAATAATGATGTCAGCAAATAATCAAATTGTGGAAAATATAGGATTGAAGTCCAATCAATGATCTTGATTCTTTCAGTGTAGAATTAAAGTTTTTTTTAATAATATTTAAAGATTAATGTTTTTTTCCTTTTTTTTAAAATCAAAATCTCAAAATTAAATCATAAAACATTTTCAATGATTAAAATTAATTAATCCAAACTATAATAGCTTTTATAGAATTTAAACTTATAAAAAAAGGTCCATCTAATTAGACCATTTATTAGTCTTAAAGGATCCTCCTAATCATTACCTTACTTTTTTTTTTCTCAAATAAACAAATCATTATACTAATCATTACCTTTTAATAATCATTATTACATAATAATTTTATGTCTTTTATGTATAATTACTAAGTCAAAGTATTTTAATAATCTTTTTTAAACTTGCAAAATAAAATATGTTAAATATAATTTTTTTATATATTTTTTTAAACTTGCAAAATAAAATAGGTAAAATATAATTTTTTATATTTTTTTTAAACTTGCAAAATAAAATAGGTAAAATATAATTTTTTATATATTTTTTAGGTTATTAAACTTGCAAAATAAAATAGGCTAAATATAATTTTTTTATATATATTTTTTAGGTTATTTGCATGTAATTTATTAAAATTGTTTTATTTAAAAATATTATAACAAAAGACTACAAATATGACATACTAATAATAAAACAAAATTTTAAAAGCAATACATATCAAAATAGTTCAATTACATTCATACGTAATCCTTGATATGTATCCAAGGTATTTCAGAACTACGAGGCCTATGTTGATTGTATAATTCGAAACGCGACCAATACATAGTTTGCCAGAAAGATGCAGACGAGCTTTTATGAGCATTCCAATATGTTGTGGTTGGAGGCATTGGGTAATTTCCTTTTAAAGACACCGAAATATAATGTCTGCCTACAAGTGCCACTATAATGTTTCGTTGAGATTGAAACTCTTCAGGACCTCTCCAAATAGGGAAGCAGGTTGTAGATTGTTCATGGCTTAGACAATGAACAATCACACCAAACTTGTTGGCAATCAAGTAACCAATCAAAGGCATAATCATCCAATCTCGCAAATATGCAGGTGACTCGAACCAACACAAAGACTCGTATACCTCATTGAACCCATCAGTAAAAACTTGTTGGTATGCATAAAATCGACTTTCTAACGATTCAAGCAATTGTTGCCTAATGTATAGCCATTGGTCTTCATTGTGCCCTAGACTAACAGCTACCGCTCGAAACCCACAGTTTCCATCACCGAGTACATCTTGTATCTTGTCGATGTAATCATGAAATACATCAGGAATACTCTTCATTAGGAATGGATCATGCATTCGTGGTTCTTCATTTAAGTCAATGTCGTACGAATAATTATGCCTTTCAGGTTCTTTATTTAAATCCAACCCAATGAACTCTGATGTGGTAGAGTCATTGCATCTAGGAGGAGCCTGATTTGGAGGGTTGACATTCTTTTTATGTTGTTTCTTCATACTCGGTCGTCCGCGGGTCTTATTTTGAACTGTAGGTTCTCCAACATCAATTGTGCGCGGATCGTATATCTCTTTTAGTTTTTTCAAATAATATTTTTTTTCCTGCTTCTGTCTGCTTGTTGAAATTTTCTTTATACTTTTCAACTTCATCGTCGCAACAAATATTGCCTTTTTTTCAGGCTTCATATCAGAAATACTAAGCTTTCTCTAAAAGATATCTATTAAATCCAAGTGTATTTCTTCACCTGTATTAAAATACAAAATAAATATTTTTGTAATATTTAAAAATTTATATATGTTGTAATTGAACATACTAACCTGAGCTTAAGTAAACAGAAAGCATGTAAGCACATGGTAACCCACAACTGGTACGGAGTTTGCAACCACAATTTGAGGAGTCTAACTTTGACACATTTAACCTTTGGAGCTCTCCTACTATTATATCAAGAGTTTCGTTTGAAACAAAACCTCTTACTAACCCGAAGCAGTACAAATTGTGATGCTTATATCGGAAAATTAAGCTTTTCTCAAAGCTTTCATTGATTGAAGTGAGTTGTGATTGCACAATTTCATTAATTCGTTGCACAAATCTATCGAGATTAGAACTTGCAGAGTCCAAAAATCTCTTTAAATTGGCATGTGCACTCTCGACTCTATTGGTTGTGTTGTTTCCAAAATTAAGATGTTGATCAATCCAAACAGATACAAACATTTCTTTGTAGTTGTTCAACCAAGTATCTTCTATGTATTTCAAAACACCTGAATGTTGTGATTTAGAAATATAGTTAACAAATACGTAAATAAATAATAATATGAAGGTTATGATTTAGAAATATAGCTAAAAATCAAGCTTACGTGGATATTTTATCAACATTGATTGAAGTTGCATGTAGTTTTTCGTGTAATCCATCAATGTTGGAGAATCAATTAGTAAGTTCCATAATGATCTAAAAGAGCGTCGATCATCTTCCAACGTGATACTTTTATTGCAATGCTTCAAAATGTTTTGTTCAATATGCCATCTACAAAGTAATCGGGCAACATCTGGAAAAATTATTTCACATGCCTTGATGAATGCCAACTCTCTGTCTGTTATTATTACACGTGGGTGCATACATGTATCAAGCGTCGAATTTAGACAATTTAACATCCAAGTATAGTTGGCCTCCTTTTCCCTATGTATAAAGGCAAAGCCTACAGAGAATGTATTTTGAGTTGATGTAACACCAACAATTTGCACAAACGGCTTGTTATATTTGTTGGTTTTATACGTGGCATCTATTATCAACACATGTGGAAATGCACGCCATATCTTCCAAGACGTTGGATGAACGAATAATAAATTTTCTAACTCATTTGAATCGCCTGTAGTAAACTCATAAACATAATCATTGGTGTGTAAAAGGGACATAAGAACCTGCATTGGAGTTCTTCCTGCTTGCTCGTGCATCCGAATCTTTTGTTGTGCATTGTATATTGTTTTAATTGTCGACACATTGTTTTCGTTTTGAACCTTCAATGCTGACAGGATGTCACGTGGCGCCACGTTCTTTCTTGTTAAATTAGCCACCAAACGAGTCTCATCGACTGATAACCGTCTTGCAAATGGATGACCTTCCATATGTTGTGCCGATGGATGATTATGTTCATCACATATTACCCTTAGCGTCCATTTATCATGTTCTTTTGAATACTTTCCTTCCAATTGAAATTGACAATTAGTATTTTTGCTTCCAGATGCTCTACTTGTATACTCTTTAGGTTTATACTCTCTACCACGATCACATATAAGTATGACTGTATGCACGAAGCCGTTCCCATATGCCTTTGATCTTCTAGTAACAATGATATATCCTAAAGAACGTGCAGTGTTTTGTGTCCACTCTAATAATTCCTCACGAGACTTGAACTTCTGCAATCAAATTTCAAGTGAGTTAGTATATATGTTGTATCTGAAAGCATCGTAATTGATATAATTATATAACCTGACTGGTGGAAAATGCCGAAGTTTTTGTAGAAAAATCTTTATCTCTAGCCGACAAGTTGATTCCTAAAAACTTAAACATCTCTAAAAAAAAAAAACACATCAAATAAATAATTAAAATATTGAAAAAATATAAAAAATTAAAAGCAAATAAAAATAGATATTTTATAAAATTTTAATGCTAAAAAGGTTTATTAAAATAAATTTTATATAAAAAGAATTATTTTTTTTAAGAAAAAAAACCAAAATTTGTTTTTAAAAAAGCCCAATTTTTTAAACCCAACCCAATACTTTTAAAACCCTAAACCAACATATAAATTTAAAAAAAAAAAAAAAAAAACCCTAAAATACTAAATCTCTTATATGGCCGCCATCTTCAAGAACGAGCCAAATCTCTCATCCTCAAGATTAGCTCCATGGACAGCAACATTCGGCAGCAACACCCGGCAGCAACACTTGCAAAGGAAGCATCGTCGGTGGCTACCATCGACCGCAAAAGAGGAATGGAAGATGACAGTGGTCGTCGATGCAGAAGAGGAAGGGAAGATAAATGGCTTCGTTTCCAGTGGGTTCGGTGGTGAGATGCGAGGCTAGTGGGCGGTCGAAGGAAGTGGTAGTGGACGGCGAAGGAATGGAGGTCGAAGGAATGACGACTTCTCTCCGGCAAAGAGAATGGCAGTCGAAGAACACCGGTCGACGGGAAGCCACTACCACCACCAAACGGTTTCTCTCTCCTTCTCTCTCACTTTCATTTTCCGTTCTCTCTCTCTCTCTCTCATTCATCTCCGGCAAAGAGAATGACGGCTGGAACACCGATGGTCGGACCAGAGGTGTTGGTGTTCACTGGAGGCGTTAAAATATATTTACATTAATTTTCATTTTACCTTTGGTTAATATGAGAAGCTGTTTTTGTTTGTTTACAGAGTTTTGATTTTATATTAGATGTGATGTTGTTGGATTAGTTGGAAATTAATCAGGAATTAAGAGTATATAGTTTTCAATGTTTGATATTTGTAGATATCAATGGTGTAAAAAAGCTGAAAATATTAAATTTTCAAAGTCAAAGTTTAATTTCCCAGGTATTGAAAACTGACTAAACTACCATAATTATACCATAATTACAGGAGGTCTTATAAGTAAATCTCGTATCCAAATCAAATACACCAATAACTTACAAATTCAAAATACCAATCAACATCTCAATTGATAATCCTACCCTTCCAAAATGTATTTTAAAATACAAGCCTCTTTATCACCTTCTTTAATTTCCCCCAAAAAAAATTAACCATTAATATGTGGATCGCTCACTGGTATAAGAGTTTGAATTTCATCTCTAAAATCCAGGAAATGATCGAATGGGTAAAGCGTTATAGACATTGACTGGAGTATATCTTCCATTCACAAGTCGGTACGCCACAAAAAATCATTGACTAAATGTATATATATATATATATATATATATATATATATATATATATATCTTTACTACTTATAAAAGAAATCCAACTATTTCTATAAATATATTGAATATAATAATATTATTTTTTTAAAACGTACAAATCGTTAAACACATAGTACAAATAACCATCAATAAAATAATATTAAATTTGAAATGATCCAGGCCTTTAAGTTGAATATACAACCTGCCAATGCAACATATTTGATTTTGATCGAGTCTTGATTTTGACTTCACTTTTTTTTGTTTGAATTCCTATTTTATCGGACTGATTTGTAGTTTGAAACCCATAAAAAACTGCTGAATGTTGTGATCATTAAATCCCCAAAACTGAATATATTCATGCTCTCAAACACGGTTTCAAATTTGATATTTTGAAATCATATTTCATATCCTCCTCTATTCATTTAACCTGGGAATTACAAATTTGAATCGACAATAACCTTTTATCTACCTGCTTCATGCTTTTTCTCCTCCCCCAAATGCTCATTATGCTCTCTAGAATAACCCTAAAGATCATCAGCCAGTGCCATACCTCATCTCCTTCACCACCACCATTGTCCTACCTCCGTCGGAAATTTTGACCCCGCCTTTTTGAATCCCTAAAATGCAGGCAAATATCTTTCATGTTGATCCTCCTTCCTCGTATCTGGCATGTTTCAGTTTTTTTTAACTATCCATTACATTTCACTCTCTAAACATAGATCTCCTAACCTCTACTAGCCCTAAAATCGCTGACTGTCAGCCGACACTCTCACCGCCAGTCACTACCACCTCCACGAGCTTCGTCGTCGTCCTATTTCCCAGATAGTCTCTATTTGTGTTAGGGCTGAACAAAAAACATGAAAGAAAAGAAATATCAAGCAAATAAAAGAGAAAAGAGAACGGGGTTGATGAGAGGATGCAGCAGAGCTATGTATGGATCTAAAGGGAACCAACCTGGAACTTTTTAACGATATCTGGTAAGATTCAATTTCATGATGTAGTTTAATGTATTCTTTTTTCTTCGTGGGTTTTTTCTCCAGATATGTTTCTTATCATCGTACCAGGTTATATACTTATATGTTATAGACTTATATCTGATTTTTAGTCTCCACTCGTTGCTGTTACTCAAGCTTCACAATGACAATAACCCTAAACCCACGATCTAGGTATATTAATTTGGTATTTTTTTCTCTTAAATACTTCATTTATGTTGGGCATTATAACAATATTTTGGTGATTTGGCTTCCTGAAGACAATAAAATTGAAGTTTTTTGTTGTTGGGTTTGGTTTTTGCAAGGATAGGTGATAATCATCTAAACTGGCAAAGGTAACTATCTGTAAAACTTTGATAGTGCTTCCCGTTTAATCTTCATAAACATTGTTTGATTGTGGGATATTTTCAAGTATTATCTAAAAAATGAAAGTAACCATTAGCATAGGGTTCTTCATAAATGTTTTTTATTGTGCTTCATTTTCAATCTTCAAATTTTTTAGAGTACATTTTTAACTTTTTTTTTAGATTTCCCCACATTTTCTTTTGAGATTTTTGCCGAAACATGTCTGATGAAGGTTTGATTTGACAACTCCAAGGTACAAGGTTCTTTTTTTGTGCATTTTATATGTTTTCCTTCTTTTATGTCGGATTCTTACTACATTTTATCTTTTTGAGATAATACAAACAGAAAAATGAGGAAGAAGAATGAAGTGGCTTACAAAGTATAATAAACATAATCTATAAATGGTCTTTATGCCTTACATTTGTTCAACATACTAATTTTCTTCAATCTCTTAGAAAGGTAATATTTTTTTTCATTTCATTTAGTTTTTAGTTCGATATTGCCATTTTGGGGTGGATGGATCTTAAGGAATGCCCCAACTTGTAGAAAGGTTCAACCCATGAGGTTTGATAATATAATACTTGATTTCTTTTTTATATTTTGGTAAAGAGAATGCTTATAAGGATTCAGAACCTCATCACTATTTAATGTTTCTCTTAATTGTGTATTTTTTATATTAGTTTTTTTTAAAAGAATTAATTTATATTAATTAGTTGATAATTATTTGTTTTTCTCAGTTCATATTTTGCAGGATTGAAGAACATTTTTCAGAATGGCTTCAAAGGTAAGGAGAAAAGAGAAATTGCTCCTTATTTGTGTATTACTATCTAGTTTTTACCAAAAATGTCATAAAAATGTTTCATTCAGCCTAATAACTATACATATATTTAATAGTTCCAACCATGTTTCTTTAAATGGTTTGAACTACGCAGAAGAGGAAGAAGGGAGTGATGGAGGTATGATCTTGAAATTGTTTTTTTTTTTTTTTTTTTTTTTTTTTTTTTTTTTGTTATTTTTCATTTTTGGTAATGGCAATGTGTTAATTTGAGTGGTAACATTTAGCCCGAGACTTGCAATAGGAAGTATTATCCAGGTTTCAACAGTTAATCAAACTCTATATCCACCCTTACATCCTTTGATGTTATTTTTGTTGTTATTGATGTTCAGTTACTTGTTATTTTTAACTTTTATCTCTAATACATCTCCCTTGCTTCTTGTGTGTGTGTGTGTGTGTTGTTTTTACTTATTCCGTCTTTACATATATTGCCTTTACTTCTTGTGGGGTTGAACAAATTCTATTTTTTTGGCCTTTGCAGGTAAAAATGGATTGATTTATGTTGCAAGAAATATATTACATGCAACGGTCGCATGGATGACTTTGTTTTGATAATATATAAGCATTTTTCTGTTGATGACTTTTGTATTTATTTAAAAGACTTGTGATAAAGTTGTATGTTAAACAACTTTGAAGCACACAGGTCACAAGGGAAAGTGGAATTATTATATATAAAAATGCAATATGGTTTTCTTGCTTAAAAGAAAACAATTTTGACAACTAATCTATTTATTTTATAATTGACATGGTCAATTCTATTTATTTTGACAACTACTCTTCATCGGCATTTTGCGTGGGTATGTAAAATTGGTACCGAAAAATTAACAATCCAAGAACCGACAACTTACCCAACTATATAAAACCAGTACCGGTCCAGTCCAGTTCTAGGTCTGGTCCAATGTCCTTCAAATTTTGCTGCAAACCCTCTATACCCCCTCCAGATCACCAGCCCTAATCGTCAAAATGTAAATATTGATCGAAAAAAAATTATTCATAGAAATGAAACTATTTGTAGATGTCTCTATATACAAATACTTTTAATTGTAAATCCAAAACAACATTATATTTTTATTTTTAATCAAAAAAATATATTGTTATTTTTAAACAAAAATAGTAAAATACTAACATTTAATCCAAAACAAAAATTTTCTTTTATTTTAACCTAAAAAAAACAAAATATTTTTTTATCACCAAACAACAACATATTTTTATAGCAAAAGAGTAATGTATTTTTATTTTTAACTAAAAACAACAAGGTGCTTTTTATATTTAACTTAAAATAACAATGTACATTTTTATATATATATATATATATATATATATATATATATATATATATATATATATATATATATATATATATATAGTCTAATCATAAATTATATTTGTTAATGTTCATTGACTCATTGGAATAACATGTTTCTAAAAAGGAAACAAATAACAAAACCTAACTATATCAGGTCCTCCAAATAAAATTTTTAGAAATTATTTTACCCCGCCGCTTTGCGCGGGTAGACGACTAGTATATATATATATATATATATATATATATATATATATATATATATATATATATATATATATATATATATATATATATATATATATATATATATATATATATATATCAACATATACAAATTCACTACCTAGTGGACAATCTTTCAAATCGAAATAATGGATGAGAGGTTGTGGTGTTGCTATGTCCATCATTTTGCTCTCCAAATGCATATAACTTAAAAAAACAAAATCAATAAATATAGATCATAAGAACAAAAATCGAAACGAATCCAGAAAACGTAAGCAGTATGGATTTAAACTTAAATCGAAAGGTTTTGTGGATTGTAACTTTATAGTTGAAACTGAATAAAAGAAACATATTCTAAAACGTGCCCAAAATCGATCTAAACTACGATCAAATTAAAGTAGAATCCAACAAAATTTATCTATATATTATCATCATTCTTCCATGATGATTAAATACAAGACTAATCCACATAGATTGGAGCCCACATATATTATATTTCTTTTTCCCTTTATTTTCTTCTTCACTACAAAACTTAGGTTAGATAATTCATGTAAAGAAAGGAATGAAAGAACGTAGGGCAACTGGTAATGAGGGGTGGAGCGGGGTATTTTTTTCATTTTATTTTTATTGAGATTTAATTGTCATTAATAAAATTCATAATTTAATTCATTTTTTGTGAGATTTAATTATCATTAGTAGAATTTATAAAATCCATCTTACTTTTGGTGAAATTTAATTACCATTAATAAAATTCTAAATTTAAAATGTAACATACATTTTATAAAATTTGTGGACAAAAATAAACTGATTGATAAACATGATGTAGCAAATAATCAAATTGTGGAAAATATAGGATTGAAATCCAATCAATGATCTTGATTCTTTCGGTGTAGAATTAAAGCTTTTTTTAATAATATTTAAAGATTACTGTTTTTTTTTCTTTTTTTTTTTTTTGAAATCAAAATCTCAAAATTAAATCATAAAATATTTTCAATGATTAAATTAATTAATCCAAACTATAATAGCTTTTATAGAATTTAACCTTATAAAAAAAACCGCACTCTCTAGAGTCTAGAACAATATAAGAAATTTACGCATTTGGTTCTCTTGACTAAACACTCAAAAGCCCAAATTGATGACCGAGCCCAAATTATGAGCGTTGACCAATTTCACACATCCCTGTGAAAATGTTGGCCGGCCGTAGGACACGGTCACACCCCCCTTGCATACGCCAATTAATTACTTTAGCATTTATAACGGTTATGTACACTAAACCCCTTAAAGTTACTCAAACTTATCAGAACTACCCCTCATATACTATTACATGATAATACAACACCTTCTACCCTTTATGTCTTTTATTTTTGTATTTTTCGGAAAACAAGACTGCTACCCTAATCAGATTTAGAGTTTTTATCGGGTTTCATATATTTATATAAATTGATATTTGTATTCTTGAGATCTTTAGTAGACATTAAACATCATTTCCGTTTGTTTTGAACTCTATTTGAATTCACGTGAAAGTAAAAATACATTCAACAATTTATTATTCAATACAACATATATTTTAGCTTATTTATTTTAAGAAATCAATACTTTTAATTTTTAATAATATTGGACATTTTTGACATAGAGCTTTTGAAAATTTCTAACTTTGAGTTTTAAACAAAAAAACTAATAATCTAAAAACTACTTCAGATAACATTTCACAAAAGTTCATTTATATTATAACAAATTTATAAGATTACAATGAATAATATTTATGTAATTTTACATATTTCCAAGGTTCCAACTATTTTACGAACACTTATATACAAATAAAGCTACAATTTTAAACTACCAACTAATAGTTACCAGCTACAAGCTTCTAATTAGTTTTATCGAACACGTTTATTGTAAAAAGTTAACATAGTTACATGCTAATTTTCAATAAGTTTCTAATTTTAAACAGTTGGATTTATGTAAAATGAGAAAAAAAAGTCTATTGTATTTAATGATTGAAAAATATATCATATGAATTAATAAAATAATAATAACACCTTACCCTTTTGCAAATAACCTTTTTAGGTTGTAAAACAAAAAACAAAGAACAAAAGGACAAATAGAAAAGTCAAGGGTAAAGAATAGAAATATAAGATTGAGTCAATTAATTTCCATGTAGGCTTAGGTGTTTTCTTTTCCCCATTTGTCAATTTCCCCTGAATTCCTTTGTAGTATTTGATTCAAAGTGAGTGTCTGTATCGAGTACCCGCCAACCTCGGACCCCTTCAAACCCACCGGATTTCAACCATTTTCTCTCCGATTTTTCATCGGTTTCCAGAAATAGTCGAATTTTGACAGCGCCTAATCTTCCACAATGTTACGTTCCAAATCCAGGTACTAACTCATCCAAATTTCTGTCTCTGTATCATCATCATACGTTACGTGTAAATTTCGTCGTCTCTATCCTTGATTTATGATAAATATCGTTGATTTTTAGATCTGGTTATTTGGAATTCGGGCAAAAGAAGCATCAATCCTTTCTCATTAGAAGCATTTCCGGATCGAAGATTTGTAGGGGAGATGCTCTTGCTTCACAAGTCGCTAAAGAAGCCGTCGTTTCCGTTGATCGCAAGTCAATTAGTTTATCAGAGGTATATAAAATTGTTAAAATTTTGTGTAATTAGGTTAAATTTCTGTGTATATCTGACGACGATGATGATGATTTGTGTTTTTGTTGCGTAGAATCGGATTGTTAAGGCTGCAATGATGCAAAAGCAAGTAACCGATTTAGAGGAGGAGTTGAAGAACACAAAAGCGAGATTAAATGAAGCAGAACGAGAAAAAAACCGGCTCATTACGGAGGTTAATGCAGGGTTGTCAAAGGCGTTTGAGGCTAAATTGGCAGAAAGGGATAAATATTTAGAACAATTGAAAAAGGAATTGGCCACAGTTAAGGATGAAAGCAAAAAACAGATGCAGGAATTGGAAGATCAGGTGGAAAAAGCAAAGCAATCGGAATCAAAAATGTTGGAGTCGCTGATGTTTCAAACGCAAGAAATTATGCAAACTAAAATGGATTTAGAAGAATCGAAACTTGAAGTTGCTTCACTTTACGAGAGGCTCGAGAATGGTGGCAACAACAACACATCAAAAGGTAATTACAATTACAATCATAATCAAAATCAAAAGCAAAATCAAAATCAAAATCAAAATCAAATTCAAAACCAAGCATCAATGGAGACAATAGCATTAAAAGAAGAAATCGCAAAGCTGAAGAACGAAGTAAAACATGCAATGGAAGGCGAGGAGAAAAGCAAGAAGGCGATGGATGGTTTAGCATCTGCATTACAAGAAGTAGCGACAGAAGCAAGTATGACAAACGAAAAACTAAGATCAACAGAAGCGAAAGTAACCGATTTGAGCTCAGAAGTCGAGCGATTAACGGAAGAACTCGAGATACAAAGGGAAGAATACGATCGATTACGAGTGGAATCTGAGGAATCTTATCTCACATGGTCATCAAAAGAAATGGGATTCATAACTTGTATAAAAAAATCCGATGAAGAATCCGCCGCCGCTAAACACGAAAACAACCGGCTGAAAGAAGCCCTAGTCTCCGCCGAAAACACAGCACGAATCGCGAGAGAAGAAGCTTTCAAGCTTCGAGACATTCTCAAACAAGCCCTAAACGAATCAAACGTCGCTAAAGAAGCCTCCAACATCGCTCGATCGGAAAATTCAGAACTCAAAGACTTACTAGCAGAAAAAGAAGACGCATTACATTTCCTCACAAAGGAAAACGAACGATTACGAATCAACGAAGTCGCAGCTCGTGAAAACGTGAAAGAGTTCAAGAGATTATTAGCTGCAAAAGCAGAAGCTGAAAAATTCTACGACGAAAAAGAACACAACGACGATTTCGACTCCCCGCTTTCGTGTCTCTACGAAGATCATTACGACGGAAGAGGAACACCACGGCAGACATTCAGCTTCGATTTCGACGACCTGAAAGCGTTCAACAAAGACGACGACGTTTTCAACAACTTCGAAGACGAAACAGTTGCTGATATCGCTGTAGGTGATGATCCGGAGAAGGCGGAGGCGTTGAAAGGTTCGATTTTTGACATGTCGGCTTCGCCTAAATCAGAGCCGCAGACGCCGAAGTTTAAACCGGAGCACCGGCGAGCTTCGTCGATTTATACGGATGCAGGTGGGGTGGGTCAAGGGGAGGAAGGCGAGAACGCCGGTAGTAGTGGGCATAGCCATAGCCATGGTCATACGGAAGATGGAGATGATAGGAGCTACTACAGCCGTAAGAAGCTGTTTAAGAAGATCGGAGAACTTATCGTCGGAAAACAAACCAGTAAAAAAGAAGGCTCAGAAACGCCTAAAGAACATGGAAAAGAAAAAGAACAGAGCAAAGAACAGAGTAAAGAAAAAGAACAGAGTAAAGAAAAAGAAAAGGAACAGGGTAAAGAAAAAGAGCAGGGTAAAGAAAAAGAAGAGGGTAAAGAACTAGGTATGTAGTTTGATTGTTTAATTGTGATTTCAGATTTTATGATTATAGTTTTTTTTTGGTTTTTTGGTTGTAATGAGTTAAATTGTGTGTATGTTTATAGCGATTGCAGAAACGACGACGCATCATTCAAGTGGATTTAGTGGATACACAACCGCTGGATGGAAAAAAGTTGCTTTATATTACGGGCCTTATGGTGGTTCAAAGGATTCTTGATACAAAAAGCTCGGTACAGAAGGAGTTTGTTCACCTCTTATGAAGTATAGACAGATTATTATTATTTTTTTGCAATTGTAATTTATCATTTCTTATTGTGGGACGTAATATATTTACATTTTGATGATTTAGATGATATGATTTATATTTATATTTATGCCTATAAGAGTTGTATACATTAAGTTGTTAGATATATTGTCTATTTATATATGTTTTGTTTTGAACCGGGTATTGTTTTACGATTGTATATAACGTCACATGGTACATGAAAATGAAAGTACGATGTCATAGGTGGGCTTGAGTTCAAATACAATGTACTCGACTTTGTTTGCATATCATATTACCCCCAAAATGCTCTCGCAAGTATTCAGAAAGTCAAAGAATACTGAAGAATTGGTAATTAAGCAGGATAGTCAACGAATGAAAAACTAATTAGTCATGCTTATCCTTTAATTACCCTTATATAGGTGTTAAGAATACATCCGTATAGGCTGAAAATTAGAAATTTGTTTTCGGAATATGAACATGTATAATGTTTTGGTCCATTTACATGACCATATAAAATGTGTAGGTCATCTCATGACAAGCAAAAGTCCCCAAATGATTACTTTTAATTAGTAAATATTATCAATCAAATTTTGATTTTTAACAAATCATATGTAACTATTAACTACCGTCACTTAACAATTACAATAACTAATTGATTTGACAAACTTTTGCTTAAAGATTGAATACTAACAAGTATAGATTGACATATAAGTGATTTTAACAGATACTAATTCTGTTTAACATGTTCACCATAAATAAACCTTAACAATTAAAAGTACATCTTTAATAACTCCTAACTGATATACAAGTAGTAAAAGCTACCAACTATTAAATAAAAAATCAATATAAAGTTATTAATTGTGCAAGACTACAAGTCGTGTCTTTTTTTTTTTTTATGGTTGGGCGCATGGTGCATGCAAAAGCCAAAATACATGATTTTCTTTAATAAAAAATGGTGATGGGGCAAAATCCCTACAAGGCAGTACGCCCACCCGGTGGTTGCGCCCACGCGTGGACCTTGCTTACATAATTGGTGATGACACACTTTCTTTATTTTTTTTGTTATATTTGCGGCTGAATTGTTGCATGATAAGGAAATTCTATCAACACAATTTCGACTTTTTCAAATCTACCTACATGTTATTTTTAATATTGGAATTTGTCAATTGTTATGGAAGACATAGTTTTGTTGTATGCCATTTTGATGATATTATTGTGTTTAGTTTAGACAAGAACGCAGTTTTGCAAATTTATGACATGCTTGCGATAACATATGGATGATAAATGCAAACTGCTTTTTCTTGTGAACAATGAGTGATGACAACTGTCAGTATTTGATCATTGGTAGATTACCACCTAGATCTAATACTTTAATAGGACAAGGATTTTAAGTTATATTAGATATTGATGGTGAATTTAATGTCAACTGTGTCATCGAGCAAATTTTGTATTTCCATTTTTTTTTTTTTTCTAATCTTAGGCCCAATGATCTCGGCCCGGTTGGGAGAGGTTTGTTACCTAAGGCCGATGGAACAAGGCCTAGGACCGGCTTCTGAAGGGATATTGGAAATTGGAATGAGAAAAAAAGAGGAATTTGGTCATTAGAAATGGGCTCTAATACCATGAAAATCAAAAATTTCACATGCGCCAAATAAAGTGACAAGAATATAACATGGGCCAAACCAGACTGAGATATGGGACTATACATCGGGCCCAAGACTAGAACAAACAATACATACAACAATATAGATTAATTATTAATACCAAGTTCATTTTAATATGCATTAGCTCATTTTCATCACGTAAGGATTATCAATTGCATAAAATTAACTGTATCACGTGTACATGTACCTTAAATAAACCAAATCCACGTCACACGTCATTTTCAACAAAGTTCCAACACTCCAACCATACACATCGGCTTCTTGCTGCAAGTGCTTACACCCTTACAATGATTTCTCAATTGTTAACATGAGAATCATAACCTTAGGGAGAGAAACATACTATATATACACAACACCCCCTAGGTCCGTGGTACCTTGCTTCATGACAATCTCCATCACATTAAATTAAAACACATCTAAATCTCAAATCCAGGAAACCTCGAATCCTCTGGTCTGTATAAATCAGACCACAAACAAGCCGCTCCAGCAAGTCCTTGAAAAAGCGAAAAACCATGTCCATGAGAATTTGCATTATTTTTTAACTTCCCAATATTCCCATATAAAAACCCACCAAACGCCTTTGCTCTATCTTCATATATAACATCTCCCGTAAGACGAAACAGAGCCAAAAACACATACGCGTTCCCAGACGCCCCGTCAGCAAGCCCCGCTTTCTCCAACAGCCCGCTCTTCCACACCACTTCCCCCGCCTCAATTGCCGCATCCCGAAACTCCCGCTCTTGCGGGAACACCTGATCAGAAGAAAAGTCAGACTAAACCAAGACGTTGGCTCTGATACCATGTTAGATATATAGAATCTTTTGGATGAGAGGGAAGAGACTCCAACATATATAGAACCAGATGGTTGTACAAACCTGGGCGGCTTTACAAAGGGTAATGGCCATGCCGCCTGCACCATGGGACCACTGGACCAAATTACTCCTCGGGTTGCCTTCGCTAGAAGGGTAGTTACCCTGAGGGAACCTCTTACTCATCATGTATCTTAACGTCTTTTTTACATCTTCCGTGTCTTCTTCGGATAAGGGGAAGTGAAGTAAGACGTGTAATATGCCAGCGAGTCCGTGGGCCGCACCCCAATATCGGGTCCCGTGCCATCTGTACATCAAGGGGCAGAGGGCGTGATCAGACGCACCTGCACGTCCTCCTGCAATTACAGCCTCAACTATAGGGTTGAGGAGATTGGATGATATGGTTTCTGGGCCGATATGTTTGTTTATAAACAACGCGGCCCACAAGAATCCTGCACGCCCATGTAGAAGATCGTACGACATCCCAAACCCGCCTTCCCTGGGCCCCACCGGAAGAGCTCTCTCTTGCGCCAACTAGAATATATTACAAACTTATACATTCAAATAGTTTTCCATAGATTATTATCAAATCTAACTTAATATAATATTAATATATCATTATATATATAAATAAAATACAAATTTTGGTATTTCACTATTCCCCACCGAAATAATATAAGAAATGGTGTTTAGGTTGGATGTATCTAAAAGTGTAAGAAACGAGTTTTGGTGTTTGGTTGAAAATAGTCGTATATTGTCCATTAAATTAAAAAAATAGCACCTAATTTAGTTTCAAGGAGATGTCCAATGAGTTGTCAACCATTAAATAATTATAGGACAGACAGAAGGCATCATTTAATCTTTAAATATCTAGGCATGACCCTCTACCCATAAATATTATATGAGTTAAACGATGGACCCACGTACTACCATTGTGGATAAAGTGAATCACTAGGTGTTTGTTGGAACACTGTGTCCACATACTTGATTCGGACCACAACCAAAGATTGTGAATACTTATATTTTATTTCCACTTAAATTAGTGCATTATATGAGTTGGAACGTCCTTATCCACTGCAAAAATAGCGTCCTAAAATATTCACATGTGCGTCTATAGAAAGATTTTTTTTCTTATTTTTTAACACTTCTCTTTCCGATTTGGCTGATAAAGATAGGCAATGACACCAACCATGAGCCTTGATAAATAAATTAGGGTTTACGCAAGAAACGAATGGCTACCTAGATGTAAAATATCACTAGATTCGTGAAGATATAAGAAATATAACTAGATATGTTATGTAATTATACACGTAAATTAGGGTTTCGTTTAGGCATAGAAACTACGAATAGCAGAAATATTATTTCGATGGTGAATTGAATTAAAAAAATACCTCCAAAAATTCGGCAAGGTAAAAGTTGCGTTTGTTAACGTCTCCACAATGATTAGCGATCACTGCACCCAATGCATAAATTCCTCCTCTTCCACACAAAAACGTCGTGTAGCTGCTTTTATTTAGTTTACAAAAAAGTAGGTTTAATTTCATTATCGGAACTACTAATAATGGAAAAATTTTGCTTGAAATCTGGCAAATCCATCGATACAATTGATGATTATTTATTAGTAGATAAGATGGTTTACCTAGTGGAAGTATTAGCTACTGCAGCAGCACAAGCACGGACGATTCTAGCAGATAATTGCAAATCCTCGCGACTACCAGTAGCTTCATAGAACCGCAAGCAGGTGATCGCTGTCCCTAACAGACCGGTGTAAACCGTCGGATCCACGATTTCACCACCTCCGCCGTACGCTTCCGTCCACGTCGCCTCCACTACCTGTGCATCATTTGCACATACAGCGAAATCAATCAGTGCTAACTGCTAACATGCTCCGCCGGTCGACGTATTACCTAACCTACACCATTACTCCGATATACAGCAATCTCCTAGTTTAAAAAAATTCTAGATCTCACTAACATTTGAAATGTTTTCAGCTTTGTATTCGAAAATCACCGATCGACACGTATATAGCAGCAATTTCGCAAAATGAGAATGTATTGAAAAAAAAAAATAAACAAAATACCAGCTCTTTTAGAGCGGCAGCAGCTCCGAGAAACGCGTCCGGTGAAAGGGAGAGATTGGCGGCGGCGACCGTCGTCGAATGGAGAAAATCTAGCTGTTCGTGACCATCGTCACGACTATTATTGTTATCACTGGAGGAAGGAAGCTTTACCATGGATGACATCTCTACAATCAGTCGATCAATAATTATAGTTCAAAGAGCTTCCAATGAAGTTCACGCAGCAGGGATCTCAGGCTTTAGAATATATAGATGGAATCAGAGAGGTCGGTGATGCTGATTGATTTGAAGAGGAGGTTGGTGTGTGTGGAAGAAGATGATTGATAGAAGGGGCGGGTACGACAGAGAACATACGGTACACGTGCCACGTTAGTCATAGACACGGCGTTTGGACCCAACAGATATATATCACGAATAACTTGTGCCTTTCTTTTCTCTCTATATATTTTTAAATTGCTTTGGGAGATTGGCTTGATAGTTGATAGTTTTTGAGAATTTATTGTTATAAACACTATATTTCACAATAAGTTTTGGAATATATATATATATATATATATATATATATATATATATATATATATATATATATATATATATATATATATATATGGAAAATGACTTAGGAAGGTAATTACCTTTTATCCGTGTTCACATATTAGTAACTTCTTCTTTTTTGTACATAATAAAGCAAGTAATTTGTTTTAACTGTTTAAATTACACCAATATTACTAGCTAATACTTGTGTTAACCGGTAACTCAAAGGGAAAATGAATTAGGAGGGTAACTACCTTTTATCCGTGTTCACATATTAGCAACTTTTTATTTTTTGTACATAAGAAAGCAACTATCTTGTTTTAACAGTGTAACATCCCAAAAATCATGACCAAAAATTCCGTTTTTAATTTAATATTAAAACCATAATTATCAAACCATTAATTTAATACTCCGGCATCGGACCCCGTCCGACATCAGGCCCCGCCTGGCATTGAGCCCCGCTCGATATACAAATCTTTCTCTCTTAGGCCCCACCTGTCTCCGGGCCCCGCCCGCTAAACACATACAATCATTTAACATGCTAACACATAAAGAAACATACTCTACTGTATCCCTATCCTAAGAAACATACTCTGCTAATAATGAGATACAGAACATCGTTCGTACTCAACTAGTGATGAGATACGGGCCCTCGCGCACACTCACCTCTTTACCAGGCACATACAAGTATCATACATACAACAAGTATAATCTAACATGCAAAAATTCCTCGGGCACCCGCCCGACATCATACATTGGTCTGGAATAACATACTAGCATACAATGCCTAGGGCTAACCCCCGGGTCTTCCTACTCATAGACTATATGGGCTGGCATTGTGGCCTTAGACCCATTCACACAGTAAGGAGACTCACCTTGCACTGCTGAAGCCCTGGCTGGAACTAGCTGAGTACGGACGAAGTTTTGTATCTCATTATTAGCAGAGTATGTTTCTTAGGACAGGGATACATGAGAGTATGTTTCTTTATGTGTTAGCATGTTATATGATTGTATGCGTTTAGCGGGCGGGGCCCGGAGACAAGCGGGGCCTAGGAGAGACAGATCTGTATACCGAGCGGGGCTCTATGCCAGGCGGGGCCTGATGTCGGGCGAGACCCGATGCCGAAGTATTAAATTAATGGTTTGACAATTATGGTTTTAGTATTAAATTAAAAACGAAATTTTTGGTCATGATTTTTGGGATGTTACACAGTTAAAACAAGTTAGTTGCTTTCTTATGTACAAAAAATAAGAAGTTGCTAATATGTGAATACGGATAAAAGGTAGTTACCCTCCTAAGTCATTTTCCCTTTGAGTTACCGGTTAAAACGGGTATTAGTCGGTAATATTGGTGTAATTTAAACAGTTAAAACAAGTTAGTTGCTTTATTATGTACAAAAAAAAAAGTTGCCAATATGTGAACACAGATAAGAGGTAGTTACCCTCCTAAGTCATTTTCCCAATTTGTGAAATATTTAGAAGATTAAGGGTGTGTTTAATTGCGGAAAGATATTTCGTTTTCTGAAAAAAAAAATTAAAGAAAAATAAGAATTTTGAAAACACGTTTATTCGTCTATTTTTCAAAAAATTTCACGGAAAATGAAATTTTTTTGTTTTCTAAAATTACAAAAAGTTGAAATTTTTTGAAAAACCAATAATCATTGTTTTCCATATTTTTCTAATTCCATTTTTTTTAAATATAAACACGCTCACTTCCACCCCATCCACCTCTACATACCCTCACCTTAACATCCCCAACCCACCACACCCTTTTCTACCTAAACTCATTCCCAAGTCCACCCCCACCCGCACATACACATACCAACCTCCACAAACATACCCACACACCCACCCCCCACAAACATACACACCCACAAACACACCTACACCCTATTGGGCCGGGCCTGGCCACCACCACCATCGCCATCATCAACACCACCACCGCCACCATCCCCACGCCCACCCTACCACCGCTACCGTTTTCAAAAAATAAAAATTGATATAAAAATACACATCTAAACACGTTTTCTAATTTTCTAAAACTGAAAATGAAAAATGAATAAGTTTTAACTAAACACATTTTCTAAATTTTCCAATGAAAACCGAAAACAGAAAACAAAAACTGAAAAGGGAAAACGAAAAACAGAAAATAAAAACGGTTTTTCCGTAACTAAACACAACCTAAGGTTGTCTACTTGTCTTTAGTTACGGAAAAACAATTTTTATTTTTTGTTTTTTGTTTTCATTTTCAGTTTTTGTTTTTTGTTTTAAGTTTTCATTGAAAAATTTAGAAAACTCGTTTAGTTAAAACTTATTCATTTTTTTATTTCTTTTAGAAAATTAGAATAAGTGTTTAGATGTTTATTTTTCTATTGGTTTTCAATTTTAAAAAATGGTAGTGGTGGTATGTGATAAGGAGAAATATCCTCCTCAATCTTCCTCTGTATAAAAGTGATTCTGCATATATTCTATATTGATATAATTGCTTGTGTATATCTGTTTGTTATTTAGTTTCCTAGGTTTAGTGGAATCTCCTTAATTGCAAATATTCTCTGTAATACGAGTGTAATATACGTTGGGATGTTTTTGGCTATTTAAAGTCATCTCCACTGTTAATGAAACAATCATCTTACTCTCAACCCTTTCATCGTATCAAAGATTTGTTGATCCTCCTCTATACTCTCAATCACTTTTCATCAACCATGACCAACAACAATGATGCTACCATTCCCAACAGCAACAAACCTACAAAACCCTTCACCATAATCAACTTCAACAACACAATCAAGCTCACTCCAAGAAATTACATTCCATGGAAATCTCAAACCCAAGCAACCCTAATTGGCTACGATCTATACAAATTTGTAGATGGTACTCATCCACCACCCTCCCCTAAAATCACAACCAATTCTATTACAACTAAAAACCCAACCTATTTAACATAGGTGCACCAAGTTAACCTCATTTTTGGTGCTCTTCTTGGAACTTTCTCAGCTATTGTTGTACCTCTTGTATCCTACTCCTTAACTTCTGCTGAAATTTGGCGCATCCTTGCATCAACATATGCCAACGCATCTTGTGGTCATCTCTTACAAATCAAAAACAATCTTAATCGAATCACAAAACTCTCCACCTAAAGTATCACTGAGTACTTGCAATCCATCAAAACCCTCACCAACCAAATCTCTGTCATGGGGAAACCCATGGACCATGCAGACATTATCTCCAAAGTTTTGAGACGTTTTGACTATGAAGCATACAGACCGGTCATTGATGCTACTAATGGGTGAGATACAACCATCTCCTTTGAAGAACTTCATGAAAAACTCGTCACCATTGAACTTACCCTTAACCAAAACAACATCACTCCTTACCCCGCTTCTGTCCATGCGGCCTACAAAACCCACAATCTACGCAATCATAACCACCCTCGAACACCATCTACACTTGGACTTCTTCCAACTCTTACAAATATGTCAAACCGGTCTTCAAAACCCTTCCTTGGAAAGTGTTAGTTTTTTCGCATCCCAGGTCATGCTGTCTCACAATGTTACACCTTTAAACGCACTTATCCTTAAGTTGTTTTCCTGAATACACCTATACCATCAGGTCGACCTCATGCTCCTCAAGCACATGTTGCCACAGTTACTACACCACCATCGTCCTCATGGCTTCTCGAAAGTGGTGCCACTCATCATGTTACCGATGATCTGGCAAACCTATCACTTCATGCACCATATGATATATCTGATGAACTAATCTTTGGGGATGGATATGTTCTTCCTATTTCTCACACTGGTTCCTTCTTTATCTCTACTTCAACTTACACCTTTATATTCAAAAATGTTTTATATGTTCCATCTATCTCTCGAAACATTCTCTCTATCTCACAATTCTATCATGATAACTCTACACCTGTTGAATTCTTACCCTCTACTTTCCTTATTAAGGCAGTTTCAATGAGGCAAAATCTTCTCACGGGACAACCTAAAGGTGGAGTTTATGACTGAAAAATGCCTTCTCCAACACTTTTCTCAAGCTTTGCAAAATCCTGTCGTGACTGGCATCATCGCCTTGGTCACCCATCTATCGCTATTATCAAGCATCTCAATTCACAATTTCCATTACAAAATTTCTGCTGACCTCAATCAAGTTGTAATTCTTGCAATATTAATAAAATCCATAATCTACCATTTTCTCAATCAACTTTAGTCACACATTCACCTTTAGAATTAATATTTTCTTATGTCTGGACAGCTCCAGTCCAGTCTTATGACAACTTTCAATACTATGTCATATTTGTTGATCGCTACACTAAGTACATATGATTTTACCCTTTACAACGAAAATCCGATACACAATCAATATTTCTCCGCTTCAAAGCATTAGTAGAAAAATTCTTAAATAAACCCATACTCCAATTGTTTCGAATAAATGTGGGGAATACCTAAAACTCAACTCCACTCTTCATTCCACTAGAATATCTCATCTCAGCTCTATTGGAATAGTGTCTAAGGCTGCAACTATATTTGGCAAGTATTTGACCCGGTTGTGCATGGTCCTTTTGGGTTGCCTTCACCATAGCAACTTGACAGGATGATTTATTATGAGAGAAGAAATATTATTAATATATTATGAGAATAATATAATGAATAATAATATTGTTATTTGATTAATATAAGTCATAAATTAATTAGGAATTAATTTGGTGACTTAAAGAGATTAATTGAATAAAGGGGCATAAACTGTTAATTATATGATAGTTGTACTTTGGGCTATAATCCCTTATGGATAAGGGGTAGACGATTTCTAGGGACTTAGGATAGGCCTAGAATTCGTCCAAGGCTTATCATTAGGGTATTGGATAGTTTAGGGCCTAAGTTATCCAATTAGGGTTTAAGGGTGAAACCCTAGGAGCCTCACTAGTATAAATAGATCCTAGGGGTTAAGGAAAATCGGCACCTATGCTTAAGAAGAAACCCTGGCCGATTTCC